GCTGCCTTTCTCCTCAGGTTCCCGGGTCAAAATGAGGTCGGCTTCCTCTAGGGGACGGGCGTCCCCTCTCTTTCTAGCCAGTGCTGTCCCCAGTGCCCCCTGAACTTCTCAAAGCCACCTCGACCTCCGAGTCTGTCTCGCTGCTTTGGATTCATCACGTGCCGGTGCCGGTGCCGGCTTACCTTCCCTCCTGGGGATGCTCCGTGCCCCCCCCCCCCCCCCCGCACTCTCCTCTGCTCCCCTCCTGCCTCTGCCCTGCCCCACTCTTCCCCGGCCTCGCATCAGGCACTCGCTTCCAGGCTCACTCTCCACCAGCGCTGCTCTGGCCTGGCGGGAGCGAGGAGCACCCGGACACGCGGCCCTGGGCGCCTCCCAGGCCGCCACGGCCACACGAGTGGCACCCGGTTTAGGTTCGCATTCCCCTCGCTCCCCGAGACCGTCTGTGCTCTTTGATGGGGCCGGCCGAGCTCCCGCGTAGGGGTGGAGTGTGGCTTCACGCAGCAATTGGCATGGCACATTTCTCTGTAAAGGGCCCACGCGGGTGTCTTAGGGTTCACAAGCCCCCCGCCGCCGGCCTTTGCATCTAGGCCTAACCTCGGCGGTCGGGGGGAGGGGGGTCCCATGCTATGGGGGCTGAGGGAGGAGGGGCCGGGGGGGATGACACCCTGATCCACCTGCTGACCAAGTCCTGTCTTCTCTGAATTTACGTTGAGTGGAAATGCTCCTCCCCCTGCCTCGGGCACCCCTGCCACCTGCCCCCTCGTCCTGAGGGCTCAGCTCAAAGCCGTGGTGAAGCCCGCTCTGCCCCTTGGGGAGGGGCGCACGCGACCGACCTGCAGGCCGTTCCCTGCGGGGCGCCGGGCGACAGCTCCCCTCGTGGGTGGAGAGCAGGCTCCGAGACACCACACAGCCCGGCTGGTGTCACGGCTAACACGCGGCGGCGCGGAGTCTGGATCCTGCCCTGCCTCGGGCCTGCCGAGCACACCCCCCTTCCCCGGTCTCACCTGCTACCCACAGCTCACCTGCGCTCACCTGTGCCCAGGACACGCGGCGTGGAGCCGCTGGCCTGTCCACGGAGCCCCACAAGCCCAGTCTCTGCCTGCCTGCCGCGTGGCCCCCCCGCGGGCCGCTCCCCTGTGCCTGGCAGGTGAGGGAGGATCCTGACCACGCCGCGTCTCCGCACTGCAGGCCCCGGGCACAGACCTGGGGTTGTCTCCACGCCAGCCCCGGCTTCCAGGTGAAGTCACGGTGAGTCAGAGCCCCGCCTCTGGTCCTGAGTTTGGGGGGCAGGTGCCACTGCAAGAACGAGGCCGGTCCGGTGGGTCCCGTGGCCAGGGGTGGGTTCCCCGGGGGCCTGGGGGTCCCGGAGAAGGGGGTGCATCATGAGCTGGGCGGCGTGCCGGCTCCCAGGAAGAGCTGATTGATAGCTTAGCACCATCTGGTTTTCGTCATTCTGGTGTCATGCTTTTTATAAACACAGGACGAAAAAATATTTTGTCTCAAATAAATGTACACGGTATATCGGCTATCTCGTATTAGCAGTTTTATCTCCTGACTTTTTTAGAAACCAAGAAATCAATAGCCTACTTTTAGACTGCGATCTAAAAGTACCCGTGGGTGTCCTTTCCCAAGCACACTGGGCGGAATTAAATAAAACAAGGAAACACACATTTTTCTCAGACGCAGCTTTGGTTGGACACGGGGACCGCGGCGGAGCAGACGTCAAAAGAACAAGAAAAAGGTTGTCCTCGGAGTTGGACGATTGAAATCCACCCTCAAGGCACGCGGGTCACCCGCCTGCGAAAACCGTGACTATGACCAGGGTGCGGTCTCCCCGGGACACGTCGGGAGTGGGGGCGTCACGGGGAGGTGGCATCGGCCCCACGGCCACCTGGTGTGAGCAGGAGGTGTGGGCGGCCCACGGCCTGGAAAGGAAAGGATGGGCAGGAAGCCAGGCGGCGACCGCTGGGCGGCCCCTCCCCACGCGGGTCATGTGGGTCGCCTCTGGCTGCTATGCCCGTGGGCCTGGAACGCTTCCGTCAACTGCCGTCTGTCTGTCCGGGAGCCGGGATGTGAATGAAGCCCAGCGGCCCCAGCGTGGTCAGGCTGGACCCTTGCTGCTCCTTCCCCAGTTCCCACGTGGGCTCCCCAGGCTCCTGCCCGAGCGCCCGGTTACACCCCATCTCCGAGTCTGCTGGGGGCCAGTGTCCCGGGGTCCCAAGTCCTGTCATTGTGTCCTGCAAGGTGCCCAGGTTGTCCAGAGTGGCTTCTGATTGCTTGTGGGGTCCAGCCCGGTGGCCGTGCCAGCGACAGGGAGAGTGGCCACCGTGGTCTCGTGCTGCTGTGTAGACCGTGTGCCCAGCGGGTGACAGGTTCACGCACCTACGTAAAAGGGGACACCTTGTCGCTGGGCCGGGGACTGCAAGCATTTGAGACTCAGGTTTGTTTTCCAGGACGCAAAAGTGATGATAGATTCGCACAATTCCCACGAGTGAACTGAACAACAGACAGGGTCTGGGGGCCGGGCGGGCCGGGCCTGCCCCTGCCGTTCCCACCCCGGGCTTCCAGGGGCAGCGCCTAGGCGGGACAGCTGCCAGCACCGCCGGGAGACGGGGGACATCCTGGCGCCCCGGTGTCTGACGCGGCAGTAAGCAGGGGGCCGGAGGGCTGTCCTCCGAGCCTGGAGGATCCGTCACCTGGGCCCTGGCCTCATGCGTGCGCGCCGTCTGCTGGGCTCTGCACCACCTGGCAGCGTCCCCCGTCTGGGCTCCAGTGCCTGGAAATCGCTGTCCCCCACGTCAGCAGAGAGGCACCCCTGCGTGCCCTCCTGCGAGGCAGGGGCAGTGGCAGCGGCCTAGCTCGGCCGGCGACCCCGGGCTCCCGTGTCGCGGCGGCACCAGCATGAGGGTCTTGGTGACTCATGGAGGACAGCCACGGGGATGCCGAGCAGCGAGTCCCACACCACCCAGGGCTGGGCTGACCTTGGCCAAAGGGACTTGGGAAATGTGGTGGCGGCCGACATGCCCCGCCCGCTGCCCAGTGCCGCCCGTCGCTGCTGCTGGGAGTCACGCCGCAGGGGAAGCAGCCCGGGCCTGCCCGGCCCTCCTGCCGTCCCTGCCCGTGGCCACACGAGTGGGCCCGGCCCACGCCCTGTGGAGCGGACTTGAGCGCCGTGAGCGGCTGGCCACAGGACCGTGGGCAGAAGAGACCGCGGTGAGCAGTGTGGTTCGGGGCGTCCGGGCACCCACAGGGCTCCAGGGGGCTGCATGCTGGCTTGTGGAGGACGAGCCCCAGAGGCCGTCCAGGAGTCCCGGGCTCCCCGGGGTGTCCGCGGGGCTCAGCCCCCGGCAGGGGTACGGGGGGTGGGGGGGCTGCTCCTTTCCCCAGGCGCCACCCAGGCCGACCCCCAGCTGGCCCGCAGCGCTCGCCGGGGCTTGGGTGACGCTCCCTGCGGCCACCGGTCCGGACTGCGGGCGTGGGTGCCCTGCTCGCCGCCAGCCAGGCTCTGGACCCGGCTCCTCGCCCGCGACAGCCTCCTCCGCCCACCGGACACTTGAGGAGGCAGCAGGCGTCCCCAGAGACGCCTGAGGTCTGGGCTGGACTCCGCGCTGGGGAGCCCGCCCGCCAGGCCCGACCGCTGCCTGCACGCGAGGCTCTGGCCTCGGCACCCGCCTCCAAGAATATGGATTTTTCCTTGCTAAGCTTCAGTGTATTTTCTGTCCCCAACAGAACGCAGCCTTGGGTCGGTCACGCTGGCCTTCGGGAATGTGGCATTTGTACACGTGCTTATCATCACGCGTGTACAGTCCTGGAAAAGTCGGTCAATGCACAGACCGGGGTCGGTTTACTGCACGCCCCGTAGAGGAGCCTCAACGCGCCGTTACCGGGACGGGGACCCCGAGAGCCGCCCAGCAGCCCCTGAGGTCAGCACCTGGGCTCGGACAGGCCGGGCCTGCTCCCGACCTGCGACCTGCGACCTGCGGCGCCGGGCACCGCGCCCACCTCCCCGCGCGCCCCCCCGCCCCTCTCCGCGCGCCCCTCCCCGCGCCCACCTCCCCGTGCGCCCCTCTCCACGGCCCCCCGCCCCTCTCTCCGCGCGCCCCTCCCCGCGCGCCCTCTCCGCGCGCCCTCTCCGCGCGCCCCCCCGCCCCCTCTCCGCGCGCCCCTCCCCGCGCCCACCTCCCCGTGCGCCCCTCTCCACGCCCCCCCGCCCCTCTCTCCGCGCGCCCCTCCCCGTGTGCTCCTCCCCGCGCGCCCTCTCCGCGCGCCCCCCCGCCCCCTCTCCGCGCGCCCCTCCCCGCGCGCCACCCCGCCCCTCTCCCCGCGCGCCCCTCCCCGCGCGCCCCCCCGCCCCTCTCCCCGCGCGCCCCTCCCCGCGCGCCCCTCCCCGTGTGCTCCTCCCCCCGCCCCCTCTCCGCGCGCCCCTCCCCGTGTGCTCCTCCCCGCGCGCCCTCTCCGCGCGCCCTCCCCGCGCGCCCCCCCCGCCCCTCTCCCCGCGCGCCCCTCCCCGCGCGCCCCCCCGCCCCTCTCCCCGCGCGCCCCTCCCCGCGCGCCCCTCCCCGTGTGCTCCTCCCCCCGCCCCCTCTCCGCGCGCCCCTCCCCGTGTGCTCCTCCCCGCGCGCCCTCTCCGCGCGCCCTCCCCGCGCGCCCCCCCGCCCCTCTCCCCGCGCGCCCCTCCCCGCGCGCCCCCCCGCCCCTCTCCCCGCGCGCCCCTCCCCGCGCACCCCTCCCCGTGTGCTCCTCCCCCCGCCCCCTCTCCGCGCGCCCCTCCCCGTGTGCTCCTCCCCGCGCGCCCTCTCCGCGCGCCCCGGGCGCAGGAGGCTCTCGCGGCGTGCGCGCCCGCGGCCTGCGTGGCGGCGCCCCTCCCCCTCGGCGTGCGCGCGGCCGGCGGCGGGGGCGGCGGGGAGGGCGGAGCCGGCGCCGCGGGCCGCGGGCGGAGGGCGGAGGCTGAGGCGGAGGCTGAGCGGCGGCGGCGGCGGCGGAGGCGGCGGGGTCGGGCCGCGCTCGGGGCCGCGCTCGGGGCCGCGCCAGGCCACGGCCAGCGCGCTGAGCCCCGGCGTCCGAGCGGAGCCCCGGCGGCCTGGCGGCCCGAGCCGGGCGGCGTGCGAGCGGAGCGGAGCGGAGCGGAGCGGCCCGGGGCGAGGTGAGCGCGGGCGGGCGGGCGGGGGCTCGGACCCGGGGCTGGACACGGCCGCGGCCCGCGTTTATGTAAGCGCCGCGGGGCAGGTGGGGAGGCCGGGCCGGGCGGGGGTCCGCGGGCGGCTGCTGCCCGGGGAGGGGAGGCTGCGCCCGGGACGGCCCCGCGTCTCCTCCCCGGGGCGCCGCGTCTGCGCGGGATGCTCTGCGCCGCGGACCGGGAGGCTGCGCCCGGGTGAAGATGCGCCCTTGGAGACGCTGCGCCCCGGGGTGAAGCTGCGCCGGGGTGGGGGGGTGGGGGTGGACTGCGCCCCGGGGTGAAGCTGCGCCGGGTGGGGGGGTGGACTGCGCCCCGGGAGGGAGCTGCGCCTGGTGGGGGGCGGTGGACTGCGCCCCGGGAGGGAGCTGCGCGGGGGGGGGTTCGGGGGTGGACCGCTCCCCGGGGTGAAGCTGCACGGGGTTGGCGGGTGGATTGCGCCCCGGGATGGAGCTGCGCCGGGCGGGGGGGGGGAGGATTGCGCCCGGGATGGAGCTGCGCCGGCGGGGGGGGGGGAGGATTGCGCCCCGGGATGGAGCTGCGCCGAGTGCGGGCGGGTGGGGGGGGGACTGCGCCCCGGGATGGAGCTGCGCCGGGTGGGGGAGGTGGACTGCCCCCCGGGATGGAGCTGCGCCGGGTTGTGGGGGGGACTGCGCCCGGGATGAAGCTGAGCCGTGTGGGGGGGCGGTGGACTGCGCCCGGGACGGAGCTGCGCCGGGTAGGGGGGGACTGCGCCCGGGGATGGAGCTGCGTCCTGCGCCGGGAAATTAAGCTGCGCCCATAGGGGTTGGGCTGCGCCCCGGGATGAAGCTGCTCCTGACGGGGGCACAGCGCCCCGGGGTGAACATGCGCCCATTTTTTGGGGGGGGGTCGCTGCGCCCTAGGATGAAGGGGAGGCAGCGTCCGTGGAATGAAGCTGCACCCGGGTTGTGTCGGGGCAGGCGGAGGTAGACTGCACCTCCGGTGAAGGGGGACTGCGCCCCGCGGGGAGTAGGCTGCACCTGAGATGGGAGCCTGCTCCCCGGGATAAGGCTGCACCCCAGTGGAGGGGACGCTGCCCTGGGATGAGGCTGCGCCCCACGGTGAAGGGGACACTGTGCCCCTGGGAGGGGATGCTGCACCCGGGTGGAGCTGGGCCCCTGGGGCCGGGGACCGGGCCGGGGAACCGGGCCGGGGACAGCCCCTTCTCCGCAGGAGCGTGTCTGCTCCGAGGCTGATGCTCTCTGCCCAGGGACCGATGGCTGCGCCCCGACCCCGCGTCCCCTTCTGGAGGGCACCGCGACCGCGACCGCGACCGCTCGGAGCTGTGTGCTGCGGGGAGGGTAGAGCGCGCCCTTGGGGTGAGGCTGTGCCCCCCCCCCATGAGGCTGTCCCCTCCCCAGGGTGTCCGCGTGGGATGCTCTGCACAGTGGCTGGGGGCTGGTACCGCGGGTGCCGGGCACCTGGAGCGACCGGGAACAATCTGGGGCGGTTGGGGGCCCCGAGGTGACTTCTGACGCGTTCACATCTGCAGTAGGAAATTTACCGGGTTTGGATGGGTCTGAGGGAGGGCGTCCCGCGGGCTGTGGGCTGCACTAGAAGTGTCGGAGTTGCCCTGGTCCCTGGCCCCGCACCCTTGTGTTTCGCGGTTAATATTTTTAGCCGCCAGGTTTTGTTGGTTACTTCTGCTAAGGACGTTTTGTTTCCTTATTAAATAACAAACCCTAGTGGTTAGCGTTCCACTGTTCAAGTGTAGGGAAAAGCGGCTTGATCTCAAACTTGCTTCTTTATTTTGTCCCCTAGTGAAGATGATAGATCGGTGAGCTTTGGGGAACAGAAGGATTCGTCTAATCCTCTTTGTTTCCCCTTAAACTCACCTGTGTATTTCATTCCTTTGAAAGGTGCCACCAGAGCTGCGTTTCGAACCCAGTGGGTAGTCTTGAGAGCAAGCAGCTCCCGGGATGTCTTCGGGTCACCATCTTTTCTTGGGGACAGAGGCTCCCCTCCGCCTGCGCAGGGTCTCCCAGAGGCGAAGGGGGAAGGCAGGCTGGCACTGCCGCGCCGGGCAGAGGGGGATTCGCTGGCCTTCCCTGGCGGCCCCTGCGGTGGGCAGGGCCTCCCCGGAATGGACGCCCGCGACAGGGCCGTGATCAATATTTGATGAGACCTGCTGAGCTGGGTGCGGAGACCCCGCCCGAGCTAGAGGTAGGGGCAGGGGACTCAGGAGGGCATCGGCCGTGAGTGATGCCCGGTTGGACGTCCGGGGGTGCCCGAGACCCAATACATTCAGCTGCATCCCCCACAAAATCGGAAGCTATAGTTGGAAGGGGAAAAAGGAGGCCTTTCTGCAGGGGGCAGTGGTGAAAAGAAAATTGGCCCAGCTCTGAGAAAGTGATGACACACGTATCAGGAGGTGCAGCGTGCTCATAAAGTCAGCCCTGGAGGGCGAAGACCGGGAATCGGCCAGCAGCGTCATCCGCGCCCCCGGCGTCTCCCTTCGGAGGCAAATGCGCTCCTCGGCGACTTGACAGGCTCGCACTCCGGTTGCTCTCAGGTTTCTGCAATAAGAAAATTCTTTAAACTTTGCTTTGGTGGATGGGTAAGGCAGACTTAACTCAGTTGGCACATACTGCTCTGTGGCTGGCTGCGTGCCGGGGCCTCCCTGTTGCAGGGCCGGGGGATACGGGGGATACAAGATAGAGTCCAGAGGGGCCCACACGCTGGCGGCCTCAGTAATGCCTTTCACGGCACGACAGTTGTAGAAACAGGGTCTGGGGCTTGAGTTATAAAACTTTAGAACGTGCAGCGTTAGAATTGTCACGTCTGGGTGTAGAGACGTCCGCTCGCACGGCGGACGCTCAGGTACGGAGCTCGGGCTTCGGGCCGACTCCACTCCTCCCTCTGCTGCGGTGGCCGGTTACCGTGTGTGTCCACGCAGGAGCCAGGATACAGACACGGTTGTGAGTGTGTGTGTGTGTGTGTGTTTTAAATTTATTTATTCACAGAGACACAGCTAGAGAGAGAGGCAGAGACACAGGCAGAGGGAGAAGCAGGCTCGGTGCAGGGAGCCCGATGGGGGACTCGATCCCGGGTCCCCAGGACCACGCCCTGGGCTGCAGGCGGCGCCAACCCGCTGCGCCAGCGGGGCTGCCCTGTGAATGTGTTTTAACGTAGCTTTTAATATTTGCTCCGACGAACAGCGTTCCAGTGACTATTTTTTGTACTGTAGGTCTGCCCGAGACCTACCATGTTTTATTAGTCTCCACAATCCCTTAGTAACCCTAAGTTTTAGTTCAGAATCCCTTAGTCCCTCATTCTATTCCCTGGAAGGCTGCGATGCTCCGTGTAAATTTATGAACTTGTGAACAGGGGCGGTTATTTAAATAGGGAGACGGTTGGAAAGTATACTTCGGAGATTAATGGGCGAAATGAAATACTTACCAGCCTTTAAAAAATTTATTTAAGAGGAATTGTCGATCTTAGGGTGAAACTGAGAAGCTCACAGTGTTCTAATTTTATTTAAAAACTTGTTTTGTGTGTGTGTGTGTGTTAATTTTCTAAAATGCGAATTATTAAGAATATTAAAATTATCAAGATTTATAATTTGGTATGACAGGGACGGGTGCCTGGGTGCCTGGGTGCCTGGGGGGCTGAGTTGGTGAAGTGTCTGCCCTCAGGTCCGGTCATGATCTCGTGATGTCAGGCTCCCTGCTCAGCAGGGAGTCGGCTTCTCCCTGTCACCCTCACCCCTCCTTCTGGTCTCTGTCTTTCACGTTCTCTCTCTCTTAAATAAATAAAGTCTTTTATTTTCTTTAAAGATTTATTTATTTATTTATTTATTTACTTATTTATTTATTTATTTATTATGATAGAGAGAGAGAGAGGGAGAGGCAGAGACACAGGCAGAGGGAGAAGCAGGCTCCATGCAGGAAGCCCGACGCAGGACTCGATCTCGGGACTCCAGGATCACGCCCTGGGCCGAAGGCAGGAGTTAAACCACTGAGCCACCCAGGGATCCCCAATAAAGTCTTTTAAAAAACATAATTTGGTGTGATGGAAATGATGGTGTTAAAAACCCTATAAAAGTGAATCCATAATATATGTGGTAGAAAAGGCAAACGGCGAGAATCTCATTTAAAAATTTGTACATCGGAAAAAAAAATTGTACATCGGGTCGCCTGGCCCGCTCAGTCAGCGGAGCTGTGACTCTCCATCTCAGGGCCGTGAGTTTGAGCTCACGTTGGGTGTGGAGCTTACTTAAAAGTAAAACAAAAATTGTACGTTGAAGCAGTTAGTGCGTCCTTATTCCTTGAGTGACTTCTCGTGTTCCGCGTGGGGTACGGCGGGGAAAATGCTGGGCCGAGAGAGGTCTCCGCGTGGCCAGACCATTGGTATCAAGTTACCACGTTGTGGGAACGTGATCTGACTAGTGGGGCTCTTCTCCGCCCCGAGTGTGTAAGGGGCTCTGGGAGTGTGCACAGAGAGCGGCTTTGGTTTTCAGCTTGGCGTCTTCGTGATGGATTAAAGGGAGGGTGGGGCGGGGAGGCTGTGGTGGCCGGGAGGTACCTGCTGTTTTTACTGGAAGTGCGGAGAAACTCTGCTTGCCCTTGGGTCAGCTCTGTTTCTACCGCGGGGTCACCAGCAGGTGTTCAGCATGCACCAGTTCCTGTTGTAGGTGCTGGAGGCCCGGGTGTGAGCCCAGTAAGGGTGGGTGGGTGGGTGCCTGGCCTCATGGGACTCAGGGCAGGGGGGAGGAGGGGGACGGTGAGCCCCAGCTGAAGTCGTAGGTGCCAGGAAGTGCAAGTACGACAGGATCCGTAACATCGATAAAATGATAAAATCAAGGGTGTGCGGAGGCCTGAGAAGGGCGCAGGGTGGGAGGGACTGGGTGCTGCCGGGCGGGCAGAGGGGGCTCCGGGGCAGCTTCCTTGTCCTGTGCTTGAACTGCGGGGAGGCCAGTGGGAGGCAGGGAGGCCCAGCCCCGAGGACTG